GCAGAAGAAAGGTATTGCCATGGGATCGGTTATAGGACCAAAATTGGCTGATAACTATATGAATAAAATAGATGAAAGAATTTCAAGTCTAACAGGTATTAAATATTATGCAAGATATGTAGATGACATAATAATAGTTTATGATTCTCAAATAGTTTCATCCAAACACATTGAGGAATATGCAAATAGATTACATAAAAATTTAAAGTTTACAAGTGAAGATGAACAACAAAATAAAATGAATTTCTTAGATGTCACCATAAAAAGAGAAGAAACAAGTGTATCATTTAGTAAGTATGAAAAACTATGTAATAATGGTAAAACTATTAACTTTAAATCTTACTGTCCTTTAGAAAATAAAAAGAATGTCTTTAATATGGAATTGAGAAAGATACTAAATCGAACAACTCAGCAAGAAAACATAGACATCGAAGTAAAACAATTGTTTAAAAAATTTCAGTTAAATGATTATCCGAAGCATATTCTCTGTAAGTGGTATAATTTATATTTAAAACGTAGATTTAATGTTAAAAACAGCATAGAAGATATTTCTTATGTAAAGTTTCCTTATGTTACTAATGTTTTTGAAAAATATAAACCAATATTTAAAAAATTTTCTGTATGCATAGTTGCGAGCCAATTATTAAAAGACTATTATAGTCGTTTTTGTTCAGTTTAGTCCTTTTGATGTGAATGTAGAAGTCTCCGCAGATGGTGTTTGATTGGTGAATATCGAACAGAGCGTAGTTTGACGTTAAGAAATATTAAAACAAATCACGTCACAGAATGGAATAGCACGTGCTGCCTAGAAAGAAGATATAATCGATGAAGCTAATTTAAAGAGATTAAATTTTAAGGATTTTTCGAACAAATATTTAAAAATTTATCGATAATCGTAATGACAAAGAGCTTTTGTCATAAGTGTCGGATTTGACACCAGAAACACGACATTTTTTCATAAACTAACGGTTATATATTTAAGCAATGCTGTTAAAATAAAAACGGTAAATCTAAATAATAATTTGAAACCTGAGCTGTAAAAATTTCAGGACTCAGAACTTTTAACAATTTTAAGTTTCTCTTAATTATATAATTTGGCAGACATATTTAATGGAGTTATATAAAGCAATGTCTTAAAAGTGGGTTATGTTTATCAATTTCCGTAATGGCACAATCCATTATTCATTTAACTTACTATGGCATAATGTTAATTAATTTACGAATAATAAATCCAAAGTATTTTGTATAGTGATATAATTATCCTTAATAGACCTCACGTGAATCGAATAATGTAGTTTATGCAACGATGTATTTCGAAATTATATGGAGACTTTTAATGCACGAAATTAACTTATAGTATTTAGATATCAATTAGTGTATATAAACGAGTAAATTCTTCTGCAGGAATTTAGTTTTCATATCGTGTTATAAGGACGTTTCTGACTAAATAATGTTTAATAAATTTTAAAGCGAAAGTAAACTTAATGATGATTACCCAAAATCAATTGTCTTGGTAATCTGGATGAATTTAGAAAGTCGAGTCACATAATAATAAAAAATAATATAAAAATGTAAGCATTTAATTTAAAAGCTAAATGTTAATACATTAGAACAGAGAAATATTTAGAAAAACTTTGCTACATCAGAAACTTCTTGGCAGAAACAAAAGTATATTAATTTTTTATACAAAATTCACTACTAATATTCAATTGTAATATAGTAAAAAATTGTATATTTTAGAATTTCTCACTATATTACAATGAATAAGACTAAATCAGTATCTATTTATCAGGAGTCACGGTTGTGACTTACCGACAAATAAACGAGTCACCGACGAACAACATGTACAGGAATTAGAGTTGTTTACTTTCGGTAGTGGATTTCTCCTCCTTCGAAGTAATTTTGAACAGTTCCTTCGAAAGAAAATTGTTTGTTAGGGAATACGTCACCTGGCATGGCGGACGTCCGTAGAGAGAAACTACTGAGTCTAGAAAGCTTAGATTTTAAACATAAGCCTTTCTCGTTTTCAACGAAGCAATGGCATTAAATTCGGTTCGCTAAATTAAAGTTTCCGGTGGTTTTCCTTAGTTAGTTAGGAGGCTAGTTCAGTTTCAAGGCTTAATTTTATGCTGACATTGCGTGTGATAACTTTTTATAAACGCAATAATTTCGAGAAAACACTTCCGGCTTGGTTCATATAATTTGTTGCCAAAATTCTGAAATATTTATCATCCCGAAAAAGCAATTATTCTCACAATTTCACAAAATTTTTATTATTTAAACAAGTTATAAAAGTCTTTTGGTTGTAAAGGTTAGCAACATCGATGCAGGGCCATCACGAATTATTGTTTAAATATTAATAAAGCTACTTATGTCATGTATAATTTGGCTAATTAAATGAACAACCGCTTTTTATATAATTTTCAAATTCCGAAATTTTAATTAATTAGTAATTGTATAAACATCACAAATTAAGTAATTCTCTAAAAATTACATAAGGAACTTTGAAACTAGTGTACGTTGTTTGTCTATTAATGCAAGGTGGAATCTAATGAAGAAGATGGACATACATCATTAAATCATAATTATATATTGTTTTAAAGTATAAACTATAATTTAAATTGTCTTGTCAAGCAAGAATTTATTAGAAAGAATGTTATTCACTTTAATTATTTTGTATGAAGACCACGTAACGTTAATAAGTTTATAGCGTGATTTTAGGCATTTTACTTTCGTTAATATTTTGATTCATCTAGAGATAAACAAACATTTTTGCAGAAGAAAAATTTACGAAGTAATCGTAAAGATTCCTTCTATACTTTTAAACGCTTAATTGTTCGCGAAAGTGATGTTTAGTAATTGGGAAGAATTCGAATAATTTCATTATCTTAGAAGAAGTACATTCCTGATTGTATATACCTGATAAGAATTTATAAATAATTTGATCGCATGGCATATAGTTAATAATACACCAAAACGCCGTAATATCACTCACGTAATTAAATATTAAATGTAGTTTTTCCAATGTTAACTAGCATACCGGGCAGCAATTATCTTACATCAATTTTGATCATGGGTGAGGAGTTCAGCTTCCTCCCACGTTTTATTGAGCATCTTCAAATCTTGGAGAAAAGTTCTACTTCAAGTATTCCTGGGGGCCTCGTGGTCATTCGGCACCAGGTGGTACACAATTTATTGCTGTCTTACAGATCCTACTTTTCTCAATAAACAGAATGTGACTGGAAAATCAAACTCTTCTACGGGCGACTTCTTACGAAGTTTGAACTTACTACTCCTTCGATGAGCCTCTTCATTGGTGATAATATCGGATCTTTAATTTTCGTCGTAAACGTCTCTGTTGGAAGATATCGAGCCTTCTATTGATGTTTTCCGATGTCTTCCAGGATTCACTAACGTAAACAGCTATCGGAATTACAATGGAAATGAACAGGCGGAATTTGGTTATAAATGATTTGATGGTGATGACCAGATCTTTCTCTGCCGGAAAACGGTAGCCGTCTTACCGACGGGTTACTTCATGTCCACTTCCGAATCGGCGTTTCGGGAAATAATAGTATCCAAGTTGATAAAACTCTCCACTTTCTTTAATCGTTGTCCTTTAATAGTGATGTTTATAAATACAAACAAGTAAAACGGCAAAACCGTGTTTGGGACAAGAATAGGTCTCGGAGACTCACTACTAAGCAGAATTACTTTGACGCTCAAGTGGGGTATCGCTGCTTTTGGGCGCCATCGTTCAAACTTCGCCGGCCAAGATGCATTTTCGATGAAATTAACCTATCCAATTTAGAAATTTATCTTCGTTTCGTGTTTGCCCGGTTGAATTTTCGTCTATGCGTTACGAAAATTTTCCGTTTTTGGAAAAAATAATCCTGGCTATTGTATCTTTCGAAATTATTTTTTATTATGTACAGTACAAACAATATACAGTTTGGCCCAATTATAACGTCGTCGGATCTTACGACAACCCTAATATTAATTCAAATTTTTACGGTCCCACGATTTTACTATATCAGATAATAATAAAAAAATCTAGTTATAACGACATTTTGTTTTAATGTCATATTTGAAGCACTCTCAAATTTACTACATTACATTACAAATTTTATTTAATATAGCAGAAACTACGTGTTCAGTCTTAAGGTCAGTGTTCACGTCTTAGAATGAGTGCGAATAGTGCCCTCCCCCACCCGACTTCGGTAATGTGAAAGGCCTTTTTTGCCAGTTTGTAGAAAAAAGTCGCCATTTGGTATTTTATTTTTTCTCGGTTTTCTGTCCTTCGAGTCTGAATATTTTAACGCTCAAATGATTTGGGCACCTAATACTCTGTGCCAATTATCAACTATCGACGTGTAGTCTTTCATACCTCTGAGCTGGTAACATAAACCGACAGTACGGTTTTATAAACAAGACATGGTCTTTGTTCATAAGACCGGAAATTGCTGCAAAACCATCCTATCAGAAAAGGTTCGAAATTCTAACCAACTGCCGATGTATATTGGGTGCACCCGAAATTTTCTTTGCCTCTGCCGTCGTCTTTTATAGCGACGATAGAGGAGCCACACGCAAGTAATTACTTTCTCGTCCATTTCGGAACTAAGCCGGAGCGAACGGCCATCGAACGCCGAGATAAACGCGCGGTGTGTACGCTGCTAACGCGAGTTTAACGCAACGAGCAACGATTAACGTTTATTAGCCTTTAGAGGAACTANAAAAGTAGGATACCCGACGTATAAGATCCCTGTGAAGAAACACAGAAGAATAAGAACATACAAAAAGAAACAACGAAAAAGATACGGTTCATATTTTTGAACAAATTCTTCTTCTTTCTTGAAATCTCTCATAAAATAATGAATATTAATCTTATTTCTTTTCGGAATGCTGAATTGTAAACTTCCGTACAAAGAACAGCACCAAAGTATAAATATAATATAACTCTTATTATTTCCAAATAACATAAAAACTTGAATGCAGTAACCTTTCGGTGTTGCTATCATTGCGGTAAACAATAAAACCATACCCCATAAAAATATTTCGAGTAAATTAGAGTAAAGTGTAAAAAGTTTTTGCATTTTCCTTGATTTTTTGTCTCGACAATCGCAAGCCTCAATCGAATCCAAAGCGAAAGCTTCTATTACAGAGATGAAAGGATGAAGTTTTGTTGCCACGCAATTTCTATTCGATGACTGCATTTCGATTATTAAAATTTTAGGTCTACTTCGTTGTTCGGTGGGTTAAATAAGAGTTATTAAATTGTTTTTTCAGGTAAAATATACGGCAGAACGGGTTGAATAATATACTAATAAAGTTATATATTTGATACGTATTACAAAATTTTGAAGGACATTTCTAGTCGTTGCTTTCCAGTTGTGTGCTTTTGATGTAAATGTAGAAGTCTCTCGGCAGATAGTATTTGATTGGTGAATATCGAACATAGCGTGGTATGACGTTAAGAAATATTAAAGCAAATCACGTCACAAAATGGAAAGAGAACGTGCTGTCTAGATTAAAAATATAATCGATGAAGCTAATTTAATGAGATTAAATTAGATTTTCGAAACAAATGTTTAAAAATATACCGATAATCGATATGAAAAGGCGCTTCTATATGTCAAATTTCACACTAGAGACACGATATTTTTTTTATACATTTTTAAAACGACTAGCTTTTTCTTAGAAGCTTGTACATGTAGAAAAAACACCGTTAGTGTTTTGTAATTTTCGACGCATTAGAGTATTGAGTAAATAATATAAAAATCTTAAAGGGCATATTTTTATCGGTCGCATACGTACTCTCTGTTATATACAACAGACGGACAAATAAAAACCTTAACAATGTATTGCCCAAATCAAAATATAACGAGCAATAATTTATTGTGATATCGTTACAATGCCAGGCTACCATTTTTAACACAGTTTTAATTTATTAAATTTAAAATATATTTACTTTATTTCAACTTATTATCATTACTTCCTTTGTCCTGCGAGACAGAAGAAATAATATAAGTTATTTTTCTCAGTTAGTAAGGTAACATCTGTCTAGTTTTATCGAAAGTCGATTTTAATTTTTGAACTGCTTTCGGTTAATACTTGTCCCCTATTTTCGAAGTTTTTATACCTTATTTCAGTAAACTTAGTAATTTTAACTTTAAAAGTTATCGGTATGTTTTAATACATTGTTTTCAATTACACTTGGCTTTAATAGAGATAAAGTGTAAAAACATGTTATCAGGATAGACATACTAACACATTTAAGGGTATTTTCGAATGGTTATAATAGATGTAGTTTAAAATATTTACTTCTCTGGATCGATTATTGTTACAGAAGTTTGAAAAAAATATTTAACTAGAAAACTAACTGTTATATAATACCGTTGTTGTATAATATCGTTGTTCTATAATACCGTTGTTATATAAAGCACTGTCTTAAAATTAAAAGTATGTTATGTTTACTAATTAACGTAATGATGAAATAAATATTTCTGTAATGGCAAAATCCATTATTCATTTAACTGATTATAACATAATACCAATTAATTTACGAATAGTAAATCGAATCTAATTTGTTCAGTGATATAATTATCCTTAATACCTGTCATGCAGGGGTGTGCCGTGACATTTGATGATAGGGAAGCTGTGTTTCTGTAAGGAGCCGGCATCCAGGGGCAATCAGTCAATTGCGCGTCAGTGATGGTCTATGGTCCATTTGTATCGTTTATTCCATAAGCCAGTAAAAACCGTAGACTTTTCTAAATGCATTTTTAATATCGCAATTACATTCCGAATCGATAGCCACGATATAAGGGCTACAATTACAAATAAAATAATAAAAACTTACTGGGTGAAATATGTAGTAAATGTACTGGTACATAAAAAATAATCTTCAATTATACGAATATACTTTAAAAAATTATAATTAAATATAGCTTTGCAAAAAACGTACATTAAAATATAAAATATTCTTTACTTTTTAAATCTTAAAACAATGCGCTTATTTAAATAGCTTCCTACCAGTGGCTAATGGATGGAATCGAAGACGGTTGCAGCGTGCATACACGCGGACTGCCAAATCCCGAGGGTGCCGATAGCGGTCAATGTCAAATACCTCTTTCGTCGCATCATTAGTATATCTCAAAGCACGCGACAGGGTTGTTGTAGATTTTAAACGTTTCTCACCATAGCTGTAAAAATCTAATATCATAATTTTATAAAAAAACAGAATTTGTATAACATCATGTTTGTCTATAGTTTGAAAAATATTAAAACAAAATTCTTTTTATATATAGATGAAAGATATGAGGAATATAATCATTTTTCATTTTTTAGAAATTATTTAAGAATGGCTTTGTCACTATTTGATAAATTATTAACGCTGATAGCTGATCAATTACAAAATACAGCAATAATGAGCTTATTTATCTTGGTGAACGTTTACCTATAGATTGGTTTGGTAAAGCTTTTAAGTAATATTCCGGCTCTTTCATCAGGGTTTTGTTTACGTCTTCAATTTTCTAATCGCTTAATTATTTAACCACTTCTTAAGTAGAAATAAGTCGAAACCGGTTACTTTGTACTCGAATATTTGTAGTCTCGAAATAAAAAGTGGAAAGACAAATTTTTATGACAAACGGATACATAAATCGTAAATGTAAGGAAAATAAATTCTAGAGCTTTTTCTGTACCTGGTGCATCTCTCTCGTTCATTAAATTTAGTTGTAAATGACGCTGTCGAAGTAACGGTTAATTTTTTTAACATTATACAAGAATTGTACACGTTTTTTTCTACATTCCCTTAAAAGATGGGATATACGAAATCGTAATATCACCGGTTTATCATTGAAATCCGCGAGTAATATAAAATAGGACAGCGGAATAAATATATCAAATATTTTAATGGATTTTTTAACTCCTGTCAACTATACGGAAGTATCGTAAAAACGTACCAGTAAATTCTTATCGGTTGGGTTAAGTTATAAATCTAGTCGTTATTCACGTAATCGGCCAAATATATAGCGGGCGGGTGGCTAAGGGTGCGACTATGCAGACGCGAATTTTTCGAGATAGCGAGAATATGTGGCGAAAAGATGTGATGACGTTTCTCGCTCTTTATGTTTCTCGCTCTCGTTTATACGATCACACAGACGCGAACGAACGAGAGAAAGTAGCGTGAAGTTGACGAGTCACGTGTTCCCTGACGAATAAAAGAAAATGGTTCGACATCGACGCATATTACTAGCAAAGAAAAAGTTGTTATTATTAGGATTACTTCATGAAGAAGTAAAAATAAAACGAAAATACGGTGTCCATTTCCTCTGGAAACAGCGAACGGCTAAAGGACCTTATCATAAATTCAATTATTAAAACCAATGGGATCGGTGATAATATTAACACACTAAAAATAAAAAATTTTTAGTTAAAAAACAAGTAAAAATGATACTCTTTCTATTTTCGACTTCGAGGATTCTATGAGCCAAAACAAGACAAACAAGTAGCAAGGAACAATCATCATTTTATTAATTTTATCCATACGCATTTCGGCATCTAGGCCTCTTTAGTGGATACATCAGGATGTTATTCGTTGGTTACGTTTTATACCCAACAGTCGTTCCCAGCATGCATCAACAATCATTCCAGCATTCAAATTAAGTAAATTTACATGTTCGGCGATACAGAAATGTTCTACAATTTTTCTTTCTAAATTATTTTCTATTCTATACAATATTTTAGTATTTTTTATATTTATATTGTAATTAAATTCTCTGCAATGTAAAAACCATGCTGATTCCGTTCTTCTCTGTCTAATGGCTGCCTCATGTTCCTTTACTCTCAACTCCAATCTTCTTCCGGTTTCTCCAATGTAATAATTTGGGCTTCCACATGTACATGACATCCTATATACGACACCGGCGATTTTAAATTGGTCTCTGGGCGAATTTTCACTGTTTATTATGCTGATAATGTTTGACATCTTATTCTTTTGGCTCGCAACTATGCATACAGAAAATTTTTTAAATATTGGTTTATATTTTTCAAAAACTTTAGTAACATAAGGAAACTTTACATAAGAAATATCTTCTATGCTGTTTTTAACATTAAATCTACGTTTTAAATATAAATTGTACCACTTACAGAGAATATGCTTCGGATAATCATTTAACTGAAATTTCTTAAACAATTGTTTTACTTCGATGTCTATGTTTTCTTGCTGAGTTGTTCGATTTAGTATCTTTCTCAATTCCATATTAAAGACATTCTTTTTATTTTCTAAAGGACAGTAAGATTTAAAGTTAATAGTTTTACCATTATTACATAGTTTTTCATACTTACTA